TCGTATAAAACTCGTATAAATGTAATGCTATACGAAGTAGGGATGTATGTGACACTGCTGACACTTCAGAAGGAAATATACAGACAGCACTCCGTATGAGCTGCTCATTTATACCAAATTGAACAGTAGACCTCTGTTCTAATTTAAATATAATTTTAGGTTAATCAGAGCTCAAATTCCTCAAAAAATATATAGAAAGCAGTTAAAAGAAAGAAGGAAAAAGGGTCCTTAAAAATCTCAAAGGTTCTCTGAGATATTCATCACCAAAAACAGCATGGTGTGCTTTTGTGCTCTTTCAAAAAGCACCACTTCACCCTTTTGCACAGTTTTCTGCAGATATTATTGACCTTTTAATAACATTCAACACAGCCAATATACAGCAGTCATGGATCACAATGGCGATAATAAGAGAGGCTTGGATAATTATGCCCAAATTGTTTTGAAATGAGTCTAAAGTAAATATTGCGCTTTGCAGCGATGAAAAGGGGAATCAAGCAGAAACAGTCACGTCAATGTTCTCTATTGAAACCTGACCCCAAAGTTAGCGCAAATACAAATGAATTTTGACTATGTATGTGATTTCACCTTGTTGATCTTTTTATTTATTTAAATATTGTATGTCTCAGCCAATTATTCTAAATTTACAAGTGGTAAGCAACAGTCATCATTTTAGGAGGTGAAAGACAACCCAAAACAAAAATATGATATATATATATATCCAATATCTGTGTACTCTATGTGTTTCTATGAACAAAGTGTATTTTTTGAGATTAGAAGGGCACAGTTGACGAAAAATGCAGCTGTATTCCCAGGAAAATGAAAACACCGTATTTGTACAAATACAATTCCATTTAGTATCAAGGATTTGTGCAAAAAATATAAATATTACATAAAATTACACAAATCAGGAAACCGATGTCTGATGCAATATTGACAGGACTCATTAGGTTTGACTCAAACGTTGACAGTTTAACAGTGTTTCTGCATTTGTATTGTTATATGCATTGAACTATGGAGATGTAGTTTGTCAAGTGTTGTCTGTTTACTCAATAATAAGGAAAGGGTTGCTTCACAAAAAAAGGTGAATAACCACTGCTTTAGGCTATACATATGACCTAGAGGTTTTGGATAACATCCCTTTGAATACTTGTCATTTCTTAAGTAAATGTTCTTTGCTGTCACTCAACATTTGTGGAAAACATATTTTTATAAACAGGTTGAATGTCTACTTGAATCTTCCTGATCCCGTCCTTTTTTTCCTTATTTTCTTTTTGCAGATTCAGATGCATTGTCTACCCATTCAAGCAAAAGCTGACTATATCCACAGCCTCCTTGATAATAGTCATTATCTGGGTTCTGGCCATATCCATCATGTGTCCATCTGGGGTGATGCTACAAGTTACTAAGGAGCACACCATTCGGGTTTTACTGGGTTATGACAACAAAACAAGCCCGTTTTATTGGTGCAGAGAGAACTGGCCAAACCAGGAGATGAGGAAGGTGTACACCACGGTTCTGTTTGCAAACATCTATCTAGCTCCACTTTCCCTCATAGTGATCATGTACGCCCGGATTGGCATCACGCTTTTCAAAACTTCAGTCCCGACAGCAGGAAAGCCGGGCCATGAAAACCGGCACACTGTTTCAAAGAAAAAGCAAAGGGTGATTAAAATGCTTCTAGTAGTTGCTTTGCTTTTCATCCTTTCCTGGTTACCTCTGTGGACCCTCATGATGTTGAGCGACTACGCCAGCCTGACTGAGCAGCAGTACAGAATCATCAACATTTACATTTACCCCTTTGCCCACTGGCTAGCCTTCTTCAACAGCAGCGTCAATCCCATCATTTATGGTTTCTTCAACGAGAATTTCCGCAGAGGATTTCAAGCTGTGTTCAAGTTCAGCCTGTGCACGGTGGACGGACAGCGGAGGAAAACCTACTCACACAGGCTGCAGGGAAACTCTGTGCTCCCAGCTAACAACGCACAGACGTCCCTGGAGCCTATTTCTCTCAACAGTCTAGATAAGAACACTTCCAGGCGACTCAATCAAGTCACTGAACAGGACTTGGTAATGGAGGACCTGGAGAAGGCTTCTTGCAGCAGCGGGGGGGTAACTGCAGTTTCCATTTGATAAAACGTTATCAAAGGTGTTCAAATGTCTGAAAATTGCCTGCATCATTGAAACAATATTCATCCAAAACCGCTTAGTAGTAGTTTGTCCAAGGCAATGAAGATACTTATCCTTGAAATGACATATAAAGCATTCATTTATTATTTGGTTTGTCTTGAAGCGGGCTACCTCACAGTGTTTGCTTCTGGGATAAATATGTCACCAAAACAGACGCCTAAATAACCAATCAAAAAAAATAGAACACTCATTTTGTTCAACACACTTCCTTATCACCTAGAAGCCACATGATGTATGTTGCACATATTGTGCCATGTTAAAAATGGACGCAGGTTGTGCTGCATGTTGGAATTGTTATTTTCAAAAAGGGGGACAATCTTGTTGGATATTGCATCCTTTTTAAATTTGGATTTGTAATAAGTGCATTGATAACAGGCTACAGGCTTGCTCCATGACATGCAAAACAAAAAACCTGTATACATGTATAAAAATCAATCAAACGTGTATGTACTATGGTGTATGCAGAGCAGATTTCAAAAGTCAAGTCACTTCAACACAAATAATTCAACGTTTTTATAAGATGCACACTGGATGAATTCATCATGTATTCACTGTTATTGATCATGAACACCTGAGTGGTACTGTGGTCTGTAAACCTGCTTTTCAAGCTTTTGAACAAGGCTTAGAAATCAAGGGCTAAAACATGAACTCAATCAGTTGAACACGGTGACAGAAGTTGAAGTAACAATCTTTCGAGTAGGCGTGACAGCACAATTACTTTTTTCAAAACCGTATTTATACTTCGGTGAACAAAACTTTACAAAGGGAGGATGAACTCAAGCAAGCGATCACAGCTTTAAAGAGCAACTTCCAGGTTAAAGATACCTATGAATAAATGTGTAGGAAAATGATGAATACACTAGATTTTCCCAAAAATATACAGAAATATACAATACAGTGACATCTGGCGTCGTTTTTGTAAGAAATGTTCACTTCCGCATAAAAAAGCCTCGGCACGTGACCTCCCGCGTGTGACGTAACATGGGGGAAACAAGGGGGAGAGGGCCGGTGTAACGTATTAATAAACATGGATCCCAATGCTAGTTTCGACACAGAAGACACAGAAGAAGTTGAACATGAATATTCAAATGCATATGACGGACCACAACCTTATAATTATGAGCCTGCTAGGCGTCCAAGAGACCAGGAGCAGCCAAGGATTAGAAGAAATAACGGCCATCGGAGAGAAATTGAGCTGTGGTGTGAGGAGAACCAGTGGAGAACTGGGCAGCTATCTTGGTGAGTGACCGGCGTTAGCTACAGAATGTTAGCTAACGTCACATCACAACATTGTGAAGTTAACTATCATATATCAGGCTATAACTAAAGTAGCATTGATAATATAGTAACGTTACTGGCAGGACTGTTGATACTGATCCATAACAGAAACTAATGCGCAAGTATCAGCCGTATCTCGCGTTACCTAATGCAACTCCACACTACGGTGCTGTGTACCGGAGGAGAGACGCGAGATACGGCT